CGCCCTCCGCCTCCCCTGCACGCAGGAACGGCGCCCTTATTCTTCTTTGTGCACTTTATTATTTAGTAGTATTTTTTTATTTTTATTTTATTATATTTTTTGTTTTGACTCAAGCTTTGACCAGGTTACCTGAACCGATCCACATTGTAGTAGACTCACCATGACGAGGACTTAAGTCTATAGTCTCACCACTTACATTAAACGACCGACAAGAGGGCGAAGCTTCGTCTAGATAATACTCTAGAGTGTGGTATACATGCAGGCAAATACGTCCCAGCAGAAAATGGAAAAAAAATTCTGCGTACTGTATTTTTTTTTTTTTTTGGTATCATTATCATCATCATCATCATCATCATCATTATTGTAGGATCACCCTCGTCGTCTGTGTCAATATTTATTTACTTACTTCTTTTAAAACACTTCACATCTTTTTTTTTATTGGTGTCTAATTATACTTTGACAAAACTATTTGGGCAAGTCATCCAAAACAAAACATGCATCAACAGAAATGTCACCTTACTGTCTAAAAAAAGCTAAGCTATTCACAAAGCTATAGTTCGTGGACAACTCGCCCAAACTCTTGTACTAAAACCACCGTGACGGCTTTGAACAAACTCAAGACACTGAGCCTAACAGAGATTTAAGTAGAAACAAGACATAAAATCCTTAAATATTTATATATATATATTTATATATATGTGGTACCATCGTTTATTCTTTTTTTCACTTGTTTACAGCGTAGGTCACTTGATCACACATTCTGCCACTGAAGGAACCTACTATACACATTATTTTCTATATAAAAGTGTAAAAGAATGCATATATTTGCCCTCTGATGACGTACGCGTTGGCCGCCTTGTGTGTCTGCCTGTGCCCAGCTGCAGAGCCTAGGAATGGGGGGTGGGGGGCTTCGAGGGGGGGGGAGGGGCCTGATGGGGGTTGTGGGGGAGGGGAGGGGAGCACTAGTGGCTGACCTGCATGGCTGACCTGCCTCCTCTCTCGAGGTGGGAGGTCATCCACACGGAGGCCCTTTTGCCGAACCCGAGTCTGATCTTCGAGTTCAAAAGAAGGAATGGTTATCTATAGTAAAAAAAAAAAAAAAAAAAAGGATTCATTCAAATTGTAGGAACGAAATGTTCGGCGTTGAAATAGATAGCAGATAATAGACACTCTGGCAAATGAGATAAATAGCGACGTGTTATTTTAAAAAGAGAGAATATATTGTAGAAGCTTGTGAAAAAAATTCCTGCAGTAAAAAGACTTTTCTTTTTTTTTTTTGGTTTTTAATTTTCATCCTTTTGACTATGATGATTTTCTTGCTTTGTTTTCTGTGAGGAACTTGTGATCATTAAAGACCCTAGTAAATTGTTTTGATTCACACACCTTCCTTTGTTGCAAAAAAAGGTATTTACAAATCTTTGGTTAGAAAAGGAAAATAAATATGACGATTAGAGACTCTAAGATTAAAATAAATAAACGAAAAAAAAGACGTTTAGAGACTTTGAGAGACAAAAAAATAATTCAATGAGTAAATAAATAAATATTACATTTAGAGGCTTTGAAAGAGAGATAATACAAAAATAAAAAATAAATTATCTTCGCCATTAACCTTGCCTGACTAGACGAAATTGACTTGGTTGGTTTATAAAGTGAATCAAACTCGAATATGGTGAGAACATCACAACACAGATCCCACGTCGTCACGGGCGCGAGTCAACTTCAAGAACTTAAACACTTAAATGCGACATCCTTACAAATACGAAAGAGAACGAAAATGAAAGAAAGAAAGAAAGGAGGAGGAGGAGGAGGGGGAGGAGAGATATGAATAATAATAATAATGATAGGAGGAGGAGGAGGGGGAGAGATATGAATAATAATAATAATGATAATAACTTAATTAGGGTAAAAGATATGAAGAGGAAAAAAGGTAGAGCATACAACGAACAATAGAAATTATCAAAAAGTCTGGCAGACAGCCTTATCATCATCAACTTCACGACCATCACAACCGCCCTCGCGCGCGCTGCCGGAAAAAAAACGTTCAGAACGTTTGCCACCGAAGTCTAGAAACGTTTCTGCGCTCACACTCAACGAAGCTCACTCTCTAACGCTTACAAAAATAACTAACAACATCTCTTAGAGCACCTAACAATTTTTTAGTGTTTTTTTCTAATATAGAAATTATCACTACCCGGAAACTGTTTTTCCAAGACTTTCGTGACAGGTGGAACAGAGACTTGTCATGAGTGTCATGACCTTATGCGGGGCGCGCTGGGCGTTAAAGAAATGACAATTTAGAAGAAATAAAGACGTGGAAAAGAATAATGAATAAACGAAACATGAAGAAAAAAAAATAACAGACTAGCACTTTTCTAAGAAAAAAAAAGAAAAGAAATCCGACTTAATACTTCTTCATTTTTTCCCCTCCAAAATTTCTTCAAAAAAAAAAAAAAAAAAAAAAAAAAAAATCGGAAAACGGGTTCCTTGGTTGGAGAGAGAGAGAGAGAGAGAAAAAAAAGAGAAAAAATCAAAAATGGAATAAAAACGAGTCGGTCCCAATTCCGGAGAGAGTTTGGCGGGAATGCACTCATAATGTTGTTGTCTTTTGGCGTTACCAGATGACAACATCGTTAAGCCTCGCAGACGGGGCTCGTAGGGGGCGGGGAGTGGGTGGGGGAAGAGGGGAGTGGGTGGGGAGGGGAGTGGGTGGGAGGGGTGGGGAAGGGGAGGAGGGGAGGGGGTGGGTGGGGAAGAGGGGAGGGGTGGGGGAGTGGGTGGGAGGGGGGCGAGATGGGAGGGGAGTGGGGGGAGGGGTGGGGAGGGTCGGGGAGTGGGCGGGAGGGGTGGGGGGGTGGGGAAGAGGGGGAGAGGGAAAGAGTGGGGGATGGAGGAAGAGAGTGGGTGAGAAAGGGGGAAAGGAGGAAGGCAAGGAGGAGGAGTGGGGAGGAGGAGGAGGAGGCAGAAGAGAGCGGGTGAGAAACGGGGAGGAGAAACAGATGGAGAAGGATTGTGGGGAGGAAAGTGGGTGAGGAGAAGGAGAGACAGGGAGAAGAAGAGGGAGGAAAGGGAGAAGGCAACATGTAATGAGGGAAGGGGGGAGGAGAGGGAGAAGAAGTGAAAGAGGGAGAATAAAAGGAAGAAGGAAGAGAAGGCGATTGGAGGAGAGAAAGAACAGATTTTGGGAAATCCCTCAGAATCGAAATGGAGTTTGATGGAGAGGGAGAGAGGGAGGAAGGGGGAGGGGGGAGAGGGAGGAGAGGGAGGAGGGAGAGAGGGAGGAAGGGCGTGGGGGGGAGGGGTAGGAGGGCGTGGGTGACTCCCTCCCACTGTGTTTACACTCTCCAATATAACACACACACACCATCTTAAATATCATCGGTAAAAAAAGTAAGTACATACAGTAAACACAAAACAGGGAACACATTCGTTATAAAAATAATAATGGTAATCATTAAGTACAAACTAATTCGTAAACCTAAAAGGAGGGTTTCCGAGGCCGCCCATATTCACCGTGGGCGTCTCGGGGGCATCGGCAGGGGGTAAGGGTAGGGGGATGAGGGGGGGGAGAGGAAAGGTAGCGGCAGGGCGGCACTGGAGTGACAAGTCCCGCCCCGGGCGCCGCTACCACCCCGCCCGCGCCGCCACCGATTGACTGATTGGGGCGGCGGGGGGGAAGGGGGGAAGGGGGAAGGGGGGAAGGGGGAGGGGGGGGAGGAGAGGCTGGATGTGTACGGGGGAGGGGGGAGGGGGAAGCGGGGAAGAGGAGGATTAACATAAATTTTCATCTCAACCTTGTTAGCCGATGCCTGGGGGCGTCACATACCCAACTCATCACATAAACCGTTGGGGTAAAAATCAGTAACTCAGTTTGTTTGGGCTGGTTAGTGCAGCGCCTCGACGGAAAGACAAAGTACAAAAAACAGGGAACTACAGTGACTATGTTGAGTTCCTAGAGGGGGGAGGGGGGCAGGGGTGCCTCCCGCCCCCTCAGGCGTACACAACCTACAAATCATACATACACATGTCCCCTCGGAGAACACAGAGAGAAGGGCCGAGGGAACGCTAAACATATCAAAAAGACAAAATCATTTTAACGGCACTTCCTATTATAAAAATATATTGTAACAAACTTACTTACGTCATACAAAAAATCGGAGGTGAAAATAAGTTATCAATAAATAAGCAACACTTCTTATTATTAAGTACATCTTGTTGCAGTATCTCAATCTTTTGGTAGCGTCGAAACAATCATTAAGTACATTTTGTTTCCATTTCTTTGGCAAGAGTTTTGGAATGTATGTAGTAGATACAACACGCTTGACTAGCAATAGTTTCTGAGCTTGAATATGCTTGGAATGGCAACACTTTGACTAGGAATGATAAAGTACGTTGTTTGAATTCCTGGACCTTTGGTGAGGGCGACGCTGTCGACCCCGCTAACTAACATAAGAGAACAGATCCTGTGACTAGACACGTTCAGGGCACCGAACTCCGTCTGCGCGACACCCGGGCGCCGCACCTACAAAAACCTGTATTGTAACACAGTCACTCGCTGACTTACACAATAAATACGAGAGAAAATAAATAATAAACATCAAATTATCCTAGACTAGTATGCTGGCAACTTATAGCTACGACAAGACCATCATCTTGGGTGACTAGTGTCCGTTGCGGAATGTGCTGAGATCATCCGTCGGCGGTGGAACCTGAGCCGCCACACCGAACGTCGTCTTGTTGCTGTGACCTGAAGTGACCGGTGGTGTGTGGGCGACGCGGCCGTGCTGCTGCTGCCTGGCACCACCGCGTCCCTGGCATGGGCTGCTGGCTTGTACTGTGCGGGCGGGGCGAGGCGGGTGCCAGGGGCGTGTGTGACCCTGCCGGCGGCGGCGCCACGGGCGTGGGCGGCGTGCTCACGCGGAGCGCGCCCTATTGCTGAGGATGCCCGTGGGCGCCGATCCTGCAGCAGCTGCGGGGGTGTGGGCGTGTGGGCGCAGCTAGTGCGGCGCCAGGTAGACCAGGGGCTGCGGGGTGGCCTGTCACAAGTCGTGGTCGTCGAGGCAGTGGCCCACCATCGAGTTGGTCTGGTTCATCTGCGGCACTTGCGCCATGTGCACCACCGTGCTGTTCGGCGACGCCAGCCCGCACATCTTGCTGGAGCCCTCGTTGTCGTCCTTCCACTTGTCCATGGAGCGGCGACGAGCGTTCATGAAGAAGTTGCCCACCGTCGACGGCTCGAGGCCCAGCTGCCGCGCGATCGTCACCTGCATCTCCTTGCTGGGCCGCTTCGTCTCCTGCAACACAGCGCCGGTTAGGGGGGACTCAACGGGGGGGGGGGATGCACGCTACAGCCTACCAAGCACCTTAATCCTAAGTCATTTCTGTCACCCGAGACAAAGGGACAAATCTATAAATCACTCGGACTCCAACGACTCTCCTCTCGCACAAAACATTCAGTCACAAACCCTATTTTTCTTATCATACTTTATCATGTCTACGTGTGTGCGTGCGTCCGAATACAGATGCGAAGGTGTGTGTGTATGTGCGCGTGTATGCATGTACGTACGTGTGCGAGAAAGTAATTCCAGAGGTGTACACTACCTAAGAAGGGGAAGGGGGGGGAATGGGGTGGGGGAGGCAGCCATGATTTGCCCCGGGCCAAGCCGCTACCAGTTCGCCCCCCCCCTGTCCCCCCCTCTGCCGCCGCCCCCTGTATTCCCCCGTGACAAGTTACAACATATTACACTCAGTGTGGTAGGAACACTCTAGCAGGAGCGATCAAGAGGTCCCGGGGAGGGGGGGGAGAGGGGAGGAAGAAGAAGAAGAAGAAGAGAAGAAGAAGAAGAGAGAGGAGGAGGAGGAGGAGGACGAGGAAAGAAGGGGAGAGGAGGAAAGGAGATACTTGAGAAACAGAGACAATCCCCCTGTCCCCTCCTCCTCCTCCTCCTCCCCCTCCTTCGCCTCGGCTCCAAGTGTGGCCTGTGATGTGTGTGTTGGCCTCCCCCCCCCCTCCCCTCTCCCTCCCCTTCCTCGCACTCTTGTGTCACTCCTCTTCCTCCCTCCCCCTCCCCCCTCCCCTCTTCCCTCCCTGTCCTCTTTACCAAAGGTGCTACAGCAATAAAACGAGAGAGAGAGAGAGAGAGAGAGAGAGAAAGAGAGAGAGAGAGAGAGATGAGAGAGAGAGAGAGAGAGAGAGAGAGAGAGATGATGAGAGAGATGAGAGAGAGAGAAAGAGAGAGAAAGGAATGGGGATTAAGGAGAGAGGGGTGATAAATCGTAAATGGAAGATATATATTAAATGGGAATATATGTATTAATATTATATATATGTATATATATATATATATACTATACACACATATGTATATGTATGTACGTATGTATAGTCGTATATATGCAATATATATATTATATATATATATATATATATATATATATATATATATATATATATATATATATATATATATATATATATATATATATATATATATATATGTGGTGTGTGTGTGTGTGTGTGTGTTGTGTGTGTGTGCATGCAGACAGAAACAGGGACAGAAAAAGAGACAGGGAGAGACAGATGCAAAAAAGAGTGGGAAACAGGGAGAGATAGAGAAAAGACAGAGAGAGACAGGAGAGAAAAAAGAAAAAAAAAAAACAGTAAAAAAAAAAAAAAAAAAACAGGCCAAGGGAGCCAGGAAGCAGAGAGAGAGAGAGAGAGAGAGACGAGAGAGAGAGAGAGAGAGAGAGAGAGAGAGAGAGAGAGAGAGAGAGAGAGAGGGAGAGAGAGGGAGAGAGAGAGAGAGAGGAGAGAGGAGGAGAGGGGGGAGGGGGGGAGAGAGGGAGGGGATGAAGCAGTCCGTCCTGGTGCATACACATCTCTCTTTAATTATGGTTGGGAGGGCGGGCAGCTGAGGACTCTTCTCGAACAAGACTCTCATTAATTTATGAAAGAGAGTCGACCCTTAAGAACTCTCGGGTCCTCGCGTGCCCCGCCCTCCGTTTTCTGTGGACGCCATATTTTTTGCGGAGAGGAATGAGAGAAGGAGAAAAGGAGAGGGGAGAGAGAGAGAGACGAGGAGAGAAGGGAGAGGGGAGGAGGAAAAAAGGGTAGAAGGAGAGAGGGGAAAAGGAAAATTAATGGAAGGGAGAGGAGAGAGGAAGGGGAAGGGGAAAAGAAGGAGGAAGAGAAGGAGAGAGGGGGAAAGGGAATAATGGAAGGGGAGGAGAGAGAGAGAGAGAGAAGGAGAGGGGAAGGGAAGGGGAAAAAAGGGCGGTGAGAGGGAGAGAGAGGGGGAAGGGAAAGAAGGGGGAGGGAGGGAAGAGAGAAAGAAGAAGGGAGAGCGGGAAGAGGGAAAAAAAAAAGGAAAAAAAAAAAAAAAGGGGAGAGGGAGAGGGGAGAGGGAAGGGAAAAAAGGGAGAGGGAGAGGGGAAAAGGGAAAATGAAGGGGAGGGAGAAAGGAGAAGGCCGAGGAAGGTAGAGGAGAGAGAGAAAGAGAGAAAGGATAGATAAGGAAGAAGAGAGAAGAACGAGACGAATAGGAAGAGAACGAAAAGCGAAAGAGTGGAGAAGAGAAAAAGAAAAAAAAAAACATTCTCCTTCTCTCTTCTCTCTCTCTTTCTCCTATTCTCTCTCTCTCTGTCTTTTTCCACATTGTTATTCTTTTTTACTTTTTTTTTAATACATAACCCCACAGAACAATAGAAAGAGATCATGTGGCTTATTGTCTCCCTTAAGCTGACACTGTAGGCCGGGAGAGATCAAAGGCGAGGCAGTTGAGTGGTGGGCGTGAAGGGCCTGTGAGGGGGACGAGGGGGGAGAGAATTTAGGATTGAGTGGAGGAGCGAGGGGAGAGAGGGCAGGGGATGGGATTAGAGTTGAGTCAGGAGGCGATGAGGGGGGAGGAGAGGGGAGAGGGCAGGTTGAGTGATGGGGGGAGTGAAGGGGGGAGGGGAGAGACGCGTAGTTGAGTGGGGCGGAGGGGTGAGGGGGAGAGGGCGAGGTAGTTTGAGTAGGGAATGAGGGTGGGTGAGGGGGGAGAGGGGGGAAGAGGTAGCGTTGAGTGTGTGGGGGTGATTGGGGTGACGGGGCAGAAAGGCAGTGAGGGGGGACGAGGGGCGAGGTAGTTGTGAGTAGGGACGAGGAGGGTGGGAGGGGTGAGGGGGAGAGGGCGATGGCAGTTGAGTGGGGGGTGGAGGGGGTGATAGGGGGGTGAGGGGGCGAAGGGGGTGAGGGGGAGAGGGCAGAGGCATAGGATTGAGTAGGGCATGAGGGTGAGGGGGCGAGAGGTTAAGGTTGAGTGGGGGGAGAGACGGTGAGGGGGAGAGGTAGGTTGGAGTGGGGGGGAGACGGTTGAGGGTGGGGGGAAGAGGGGCGGGAGGCAGTTGAGTGGGGCGAGGGGGTGAGGGGTTAGAGGGCGAGTTAGGTTGAGTGAAGGGGGAGGGAGGAGGGTAGTATAAAGAGGGGAAGAAGGGTAAGAGGGGAAGGGAAAGGCGAGACCAGGGAGGGGGGGGAGGGGGAGAAGGGAGGGTAAAAAGGAGAAGAGGGCCAGAAAAGGAACCGTAAGGGGGAAAAAGGGAGGAGGTAGGAGGGCAAGAAAGGGGGGAAGGGAGGAAGTGTAAGAGGGAGGAGGAAGGGAGAAAAAGGGAAAGGGAGGAGGGAAGGAGGGCGAAGAGGGAGGGGGGAAGAGGGAGGATGGAGAAGGGGGGAAAAGGGGGAAAGGGAAGAGGAGTGAAGACAGAGGAGGAAGGAAGGGGAAGAGGAAGACAGAGGCAGATGAGGTAGAGGAGATAGAGTAAGAGGAAGGAAATGTAAAGGTGGAAGAGGAGACAAAGAAAGAATATGAGGAAGAAAGAAAGGAGAGAAGAACAAGAAAAAAGGAAACGGGAAAGACCGATAAATAGGAAGGAAGGAAGAAGAACCGATAAGGAGCGAAAAAAAACGAAGAAAAAACGAAAAAATGAGATAACAATAAACGAAGAATTAGGAGAAAAAAAACACAAAGACAAAAAAAAAGTAAAAAATAAAAAATAAATAAAAATAAAAATAAAAAAACAGGGAAAACTCAAGAGACGAGAAAACGTTTAGGCCTGTAGCTCTTCTCTCCTCTCCTCTCCTTCCCTCTTTCCTTCCGTCCTTCCTTCCTCTCCCTTCCCCCTCCCTTCGCCTCCTCCACCTTTAATTAGTAGCAAATGAGACCGCCAATTATTCTATAGTGGCCACACCCGTGACAGAGAACCTCCGGCCACGTGGATCCTAAATGTTTCCAGGAATTAAGTGGAGTCGGCATCTTGAGCCAAGGGGGGGAGGGGGGGGGGGGAGGGCCAAGGGGGAAGGGTATAATGGGGGGATGTAAAAGGTAGGGCGGTAGGGGAGTTTATAAGTGTGTGTGTGTGTGTTCAAATTGTAATGTGTGAGTATGTGTGTGCACATGCCAGAATGTAAGAGCGTGTATGTGTGTGGTGTGTGTGCGTGATAACGTACACACGTTCTGACGGGAAGATTAATGGCGCAAGCAGAATGACTTAGCAGATAACAGCGAAGTTATTTTGTTCACTAATAATAAGACCTGAACATTAAACTTAGAGTCAAGCGAAAATCTATGTTTACATGTTTCTTTAATACTATTGCATCTCTTCCTTCCTCTCTCTCTCTTCTCTCTCTCTCTCTCACACACACACATTCTCTCATTCCCTCCATCCCTTTCCTTCCCTCCCCTCCCTCCCTCCCCTTTCTTCCCTCTCTCCCCACCCTCTCCTTTCCCTCCCTCCCCCCTCCTTCCCCTTCCTCCTTCCCCTCCCACCCTCCTTCCCTCCCTCTCCCTTCCCCCACCCTCCCTCCCCCCCTCCCTCCCCTCTCACGCAGACTACACCTCTAAACCTTTACATAAACACGAAGCAAAGAGCGCGCTCCTCCCCTGTGTCTCCCACGCAGATCAAAGCCGGCGAAGCAAGAAGACTCCCGGTATAAAATATATTTCGTTTTTCATGCAAGGATGAATGAACAATAGGGGGACGAGGGCGGTTATCAAGGGGGGGGGAGGAACGAGGAGGGGGTGGACGGGAGGGAGAGGGGGGAGGAGGGGAAGAGGGAGGAGAGGGGGAAGGAGGTGGAGGGGGGAGGAAGGTAGAGGAGGGGGATGGAGAAAGAGGTGGAGGTGGATGGGAGAGGAGGAGATAGAGGAGGAAGAGGTGGAAGGGAGGAGGAGGATATAGAGGAGAAGGAGGTGGAAGGGGGGGGAGGAGAAGCAGGCAGAGGAGGAAGAGAAGAAGAGTAGTTAGATGAGGAGGAAGTGGAAGGGAGGGAGGACTAAGAGATAGAGGAGGACGTGAAGGAGGGAGAGGAGATGGAGGAAAAGGAAATGGAGGAGGAGGAGATGGAGAAGGACGTGAAGGAGGGAGAGGAATAAAAGTAGAAAGAGGAAAGGATTCGGAGTCTGAGGAAATCAAGAAGGAGGAGAAGAGGAGAGGAGGAGGAGGGAAAGAAAAGGGTTAAGAATATTAGGAATAGAGAAATAGAGAAAAGGGAGGAGAAGGAGTAAGAGGAGGAGGGCGAAGGAAGAATCAGGAGTAAGAAGAAGAAGAGGAGGAGGGAGAGGGAAGGAAGTATATGAAAAGAAGAAGTAGAAGGAGGAGGGTAAGGAAGATGAGGAGGACGAGGAGGAGAGGGAAGTGGGAAGTAAATGTAGGAAGAGAGAGGGAAAGGAAGAGGGAAGTGTGGATAAACCGATGAAAGGAGGAAAAAAATATACGATAATAATAGCGATAATGATGATAACTATATAAACAACGTTAACAATTATTATGATATTGACATTAACATCAATAAAACCGATTATCATAATCATCATCCTGATATTTCCGTTCCTTATCGTCAGTTTTCTTATTATCATCATTATCATTATTCTCTGCACTTCCGTTTCTATCCTTTATCCTTTATCCTTAATTTCCTTTCGCAAGGACACGAACAAGAAACACAACAATAATAATAACGACAAAAAATTTTTTTTACATTTCTATTCCCTCTCCACTTCCTAAATTCTCCTCCTTCCTCCCTTCTCCTCCTCCTCCCTCTCTTCCTTCACGTCCCCTACCTCTGTCTTCCCTTCCTTTCTTTAAATTTTCTTTTTATCTCCTTTTCTCCATATTCTATTTCTCTTTTAATTCCTCACATCTTCTCGTCTCCCATATCCTCTATACTATTCTTTTTCCATCTTCTAATCTCTTCATCTCTATCTATTCTCCCTTCTTCTCCCTTAAAATGCTTCTTTCAACCTTTCTCCCTCTTCTTTCTCTTTCCTCACCCTTGAAAATTCACCTACCTCCCCCCCTCCCCATCCCTCTACCCCTCTTACACCTTCCAAAAATTTCCCTTCCCCCCGCCCTCCCACCCCTCCCTTCTCCTCGCCCTCACCTCCCCCCCTCCCCTCCCTCCCCTCCCTCTCTTCCCTCATCCTCCTCCCCCATCCCCTTTTTTCCCCCCTCCCTTTCCCCCCGCCCTCACCTCCCCCTTCCCCCTCACCCTCCACCCCTCCCCTTTCACCATCCCTCCCTCCCTCCCTCCCCTCCCTCACCCTCCCTCCCTTCCCCTCCTGACCTCCCCCCCGCCCGCCACCCCGCCTCCTTGGACGTGACATTCGGGGGGTCAGGCTTCGGGGCGCTGTTATTTTCTAATGATATTGATAAGCGGGCCAACAGAGGTAGCAGCCAGCGACAAATGGGACCTTACGTATCGAAATCCAATAGGGTCCGAGATCCCCTTAGGTCTCTCTCTCTCTCTCTCCTTCCCCTTAGCCCTTTAGCTTTTTACCCTTTTCCCCTTTTTCTCCTTTTCTTTTTTCTCTTTTTTCCCCTTAGTCTCTCATTATTTTACCTCTTAATGTCTCCTTTTTTTGAATCGTCTCCTACTTCTTTCTTTTCTCTCTTTGCTTTTCCTTATCTCTTAAGTTTTGCCTTTTCCCCTTAGGCTCTCTTCCCCTTCTTCTTAACTTCTCCCTTTTCCTCTTTGCTTTCTCTTCCCCTTAGCCTCTCCTTTGCCCCTTTTCCTAAGTCTCTTTCCCTTCCCCTTCCTCTTAATTTCCCCTTTTCCTCTTTGCTCTCCCTTCCCATTTCCCCTTTTCCTAAGTCTCTTTCCCTCCCACTTAGCCTCCCCTTTCCCTAGCCTTTGCCTAACTGCCTCCTAAACACCCCTTTCCCTTAACTCTATCCCTTTATTAATAACAAAAACAATCATGGAAATAGTAATAGCAATAATAACAATGACAATGTTTACAGGTCCCTTAACGTCGACTAGTATTAAGGATCATGTATATAAAAGCAGTTGTTTATTTATACACAACCACAAACATCAAACTTATATCCAACTATCTCTCTACGAATTTATTTATCTTTTTATCTATCTCTCTATATCTATATTTATGATTACGATTATATCTACATCGTTATTTACATTCATATCAATATCTTTACATCAACGGACGTCAAAGAAGCGTCTCCACGTGTTCGCACGACCCGCGCATAGGCCTATAAAAGAATACGAAGAAGAAATAAAAAAAAAAAATATATATACCACGACCCTCCCCTAGTTCACCTCCCTCCCCCCTCCCCCTTTCCTCCCTTTCCCCCTCCTCCCTTCCCGTCCGGCTCCCTCTCCCTCTCCCCATGTCCCCCCTCCTCTCTCCCCCTCCCCCTCCCTCCCTCCCTCCCCCGCCCACCACCTCTACTGTTTCTCAAAATATATTTTATTTATCTCTCTCTCTGCGCCGACACCATCCGGGGGATTTTGTGTTTGCCGTCAGCAAGGTTTTCCACTCTCTTTTGAGGGAGTTTAGCCCACAAGTCAGTTCACGTGCGACCTCGTCCGCCAGCTGTTCTCTCCCCACGCTCTCCTCCTCTCCCCTCTCCTCTCCTCTCCCTGCTAATTCTCGTTTATCTCCCTTCTCCTTCTCCTCCCCTCCTCTCTCTGTTCTTATTTATTATTCTTATTCTCCATCTCCTTATCCCTGTTTCTCTTCCTAATTTTTTTCGTCTTCATCTCACCGTTCTTTTTTTTTCTCTCTCTCATCCTCTTCTACTCTCCCTCTTCCTTCGTTTCCACCGTTTACTTCTCTTCTTATCCTCCCCTTTCCTACGTTTACTTTCCCTCTTCTTTCTTCTATCCATTTCAGTTTCTCAAGTCTTCTTCCCTCTCTTCTTCTCTCCCACTTCTTTCCTTCGTCTCCTTTCTGCTATTTGCCTTCCCATCTCTATTCTCTCTATCCTTCTGTCCATTAATTCCTTTTCTTTTCATCTCATATTTATATCCTTCACCTTTCATCCACTATTTATCAATGTCATCTTTTCATCTAATATTCTCTACATATTCTCACCCATCTCCTTTTCATCCCTTTCATATACTAATTTATCTTCTTATTATCCGTCCAACCACTATCTATCCTTTCTTATCCCTTTCATCCTTCCATCCTCTTCCTCTTCTTCCATTTTCCCTCTACCTCCGTTTTATCCAACTTCCCTCCCTTTCTCTCTCTCTCTCTCTCTCTCTCTCACTCCTCTCCTCTCCCTCTCCCTATCTCTCTCTCTCTCTCTCTCCTCTCTCTTCTCTCTCTCTCTCTCTCTCTCTCTCTCTCTCTCTCTCTCTCTCTCTCTCTCTCTCTCTCTCTCTCTCTCTCTCTCTCTCTCTCTCTCTCTCTCTCTCTCTCTCTCTCTCTCTCACTCTCTCTCCTCTCTCTCTCTCTCCGCCGCACAAATATCCACTTTTTCTGTCTCTCTTCTCAACGTAACTTTGTGAAAATTTCACCTTTTTGCTCGAGTCATTAGCCTCATATTTTTCACATTATCTGTGGTTGATAATGTCTCGTTAATGTAGTGTACACGGCTTGTGTGTGTGCGTGTGTGTGTGTGTGTGTGTGTGTGTGTGTGTGTGTGTGTGTGTGTGTGTGTGTGTGTGTGTGTGTGTGTGTGTGTGTGTGTGTGTGTGTGTGTGTGTGTGTGTGTGTGTGTGTGTGTGGTGTGTGTGTGTGTGTGTGTGTGTGTGTGTGTGTGTGTGTTTGTATGTGTTTTGTGTGTGTGTGTGTGCTTATCTATACATGTACGTATTTACGTGCGTATTTATTAACGTGTGCGACCGTATGTGTGCACCTGTATGTGTATATACGCTCATTCACTCCACACTCTGCGTATACGTATGTGTGTGTGCGTATGCGTGCGTGGCCTTCCCCGCTATCTCACCCGTGTAGCGAGAGTGACGACAGTTTATACAAAGAGACAAAATATAATGATAAAACAGCCAATTTAATCCTCTGGGACTTGGCAAAAATAGTGTGATAAGCAAGCGAGTTATCACAGGGGAGAGAAAGGGGGGCGGTGTGTACATCAGCTGAGACGGGAGTTAATTACTGCTCTGCGCCTCACCTGCACACACACAAATACGCACACGCACATAGATATACGTACACACGCATAGAGATATCGTGCATACACATAGAATAACATACACACACTACGTACACACAACAGATATACGCACACAGATATATGTACACACACAGATATACCCGTACATATAGATATATACGTACACACAAAGACACAGTACCATAACCGCCATCCATCCGCACATAAGCCTAAAATATCATAATAAAAAAAGAAAAAGGAAGAAAAAGAGGAAGACATAAAAAGATAAGGAAGAAGGAGACAAAATATTAATTTGAGAACATACGAAAAAAAAGAGAATATTAAGAATACATAAAGAAGAACACTGAAAGATAAAAATAGATAGATAGTTAATAGATAGATAGGAAGAGAGGGAAGAAGAGAGAGAGACGAGAGAGAGAGAGACGAGAGAGATGGAGAGATGAGAGGCGAGAGAGAGAACGAGACAGAGAGAGCACGACGAGACAGATGAGACGGAGAGAGAGATGACGGAGAGCGACAGAGAGAGAGAGGAAGAGCGAGAAAGAGACAAGAAGAGCCAGACAGCAGACAGAGGCAAGAGAGAGATCGATCCGAGAGCGAGAAGAGATTAAAATCAAAATCCAACGAATTAAAAGAATCAGACTACATAAACAAAACACATTTCAACTTACCTTAAAAATAGCTTGCAGTGTACGACGCTGCAAATCCGTGAAAACTAGCCGTGGCTTCTTGGGAGCAGGCTGCTGATCGGGATGGCTTTGCTGCTCCTCTTTCCTTTTGCAGGCTGCGGGGAGAGAGAGGAGGGTTAGTGGGTGCGAATGGGGGAAGAGGGAGGGAGGAGAGAGAAATATATATATATATAGAGAGAGGAAGGTGTAGTAGTGCGACATGCGAATAGATAGAGAGGGAGAGAGGAGAGGGGGAGAGGAGAGAGAGAGAGAGAGAGAGAGAGAGAGAGAGAGAGAGAGGAGAGAGAGAGAGAAGAGAGAGGAGGAGAGAGAGAGAGAGAGAGAGAGAGAGAGAGAGAGAGAGAGACAGGAGAGAGAGAGACTGAGTGAGGAGAAGAGGACGAGGAAGGGATGCAGTGAGAAGAAAGACGAGAGAGAGAGATGATGAGCGAGAGAGAGGAGGAGAGAGAGAGGCAAGGAGAAGAGAGAGAGAGCTGAGGAGAGAGAGAAGATAAAGGAAAGAGAGAGACGAGAGAGACAAGCGAAGCGAGAAGAAAGAAAGAAAAGAGAAAGAGAGAAAGAGAGCGAGAAAGAAAGAAAAAGATGAAAAACACAAATAGGAGAATGGAATATAAAATAATCACCCATAAACAATTTAATGGTACAGTTTAATGGCCTTAAATCTATACCTACGCGTATGATGCAATACCAGTTAACTCTGTAAAACGAACCCAGCCTGATAATCTAAAGGCAGTTCTAAACAATCAAGGGAAGAAAGAAAAGGACAAAGGGAATAAAGAGAGGGAAAAAAAAAGAGGGAGAGATTACGTGAGAAAACAAGAAAACACGAAAGAACAACGGCAAGAACAAGAAAAGAAATCCGGCAATACGGAGGTAAAAACACGAAAACCAAAAACCGAAAAGAAAACAGAAGTAAAAACACGGAAAACAAGCGGATAACACCAACGATAAGAAACAAGAAGAAGACGGAAAAAAACGACAGCAATACACCGGGAGCAACAGCGGCCGTGGCGAGCTCCCGGCCCCGTCTTCCCGCGCGGCCAAAATGCATTTGTTAATCAGATTAGGACCGTCGGCAGCATTAATGAACATTGATATAAGGACGGCGATTATTCGTGCTCACGGCGGCGCGGGCGGGCCTGCTTTACAGCGCGGGGAATAATAAGCCCAGACTTTTCATTTGGCCGAACCGAGAACCGCGAGGAGCCGCCACGGACCGCCCAGACCCGCCACCGGAAACCCGCCCAGACCCGCCCCAGACCGGACCCGCCCAGACCCGCCACGGACCGCCCAGACCCGCCACGGACCGCCCAGAGCCGCCACGGCCCGCCCAGACCCGCCACGACCGCCCAGAACCGCCAGACCGCCCAGACCGCGACGGACCGCCAGACGGACCGCCGCCCAGAACCGCGATACCCAATTGGCGCTCGCCGAGGCTGCCCCCGGGGCCTCGGGCGCGCGCGCGGAGAGACTCGCTTGTTTTTAAAAATCATTATTAGGGTCGTTTCCCTTTTCTTTCCGTTTTCATATTTCGGGGCTTCGATTCGGCGCTGCTGTTTTGTTATATGTATTTCTTTTTTACGGTTTTGTTGATTATCTTTTAAAAAATACACATATATATATTTTTAGTTTGTTGTAGGTCTTGTTGTTGTGTTTGCCTGCATTGTTATATCGGAGGGGGCGGGGCTTATTACTTTTTATTATCTTTAGGATATTTTCTTTTTATTACCAATCGTTATCATCATAATCATTTTTAGCTTTAGCAACAATTCTTCCTGTAATATTCTTTCATTGATCTATTTCCATCCATCATCAGAAAGCCGTTTCCCTAATTCAATCCTTCGCTGTACCATATCTATTCTATTATCATTTCGATCCCTAATTTTGAAGATTCGATTTTGTTATCATCTTAATCATATATAAATATTATAATTTAAAATAGTTTACCCTCGTTTCCATTCATATTTGGTTTTCTTTAAAAAAAATCGAGCGGTCGGTTTAAACGTCTTTGTAATAGTTTTTTTTTTAATGAATTAATTGTTCTAGAGATTATTTGCTTCTTTCTTCCTTTTCCCTTTTTTTATTATTTATTCTTTCTCTTTTCCTTTTCCCGTTTCTTTATATTTGCATTTTTAATCGTTCCGTTTCCAAGGGATTTTGAACAAGGGATGAGAAGATTTGAAGAGAGAGAGGAGAGAGGAGAGAGATGAGAGAGGAGAGAGAGAAGAGAGAGAGAGTGAGAGAGAGAGAGAGAGAGAGAGAGAGAGAGAGATCCTGGCAAATATCGCAAATCCATGAAGGCGAAAAAAGGAAAAAAAATGGAGCGAAGATTCTGGGCACAATTATAGGTTACGTGAAAGCGGGCAGCGTGTGTGCGTGCATGCGTGTGTGCGTGTGTATGTGTGTGATGTGCATGTGTGTGTGTGTGTGTGTGTGTGTGTGTGTGTGTGTGTGTGTGTGTGTGTGTGTGTGTGTGTGTTGTGTGTGTGTGTGTGTGTGTGTGTGTGTGTGTGTGTGTGTGTGTGTGTTGTGTGTGTGTGTGTGTGTGTGTGTGTGTGTGGTGTGTTAAATAGTATATATAAATATATATATAATATATATATATATTATATATATATATATATATATATATATATATATATATATATATATATATATATATATATATATATGTATAATCATTCACGTACTGTATATTCACGTCTGCATTTGTATATTTTGAGGGGAATTGGAGGCCAGAGAGAGGGAGAGAAAGAGAGGGTAGAGGAGAGAGGAGTGATCAGGTAGGAGGGGAGGGGGCAGTGGGGGGAGGGTAAGCGTAAGGAGCTAGGGGGAGGGAGGGACGGAGGGGGGGGCCGTGTGGACGTCCGGTATTGTCTCTGGGTGTGAAAGACTTGTCTATGTGTGTGTGTACATATGTGCGTCCGGCGCTTGTGTGTGTGTGCGTCCCCTCCCGCTCGTGTGCATCTCCTCCGCTCGAGTGCATCTATGTGTCGCGCCGTCCCTTCCCCCCGTGTGCGTATATGTGTCCCCTCCCTCGTGTGGTATATATCCGTCCCCCCCCCGTGTGCGTATATATCCGTCCCCAACTCCGTGTGCGTATATATCCGTCCCCAACCCCCCGTATGCGTACATGACCGTCCCCGCCACCCGTGTGCACCTATGACCGTCCCCTCCGCCCGTGTACACCCATGTGCGTACCGCGTGTGTGAATGCGCGACCCAACGCACGGGTTTCCCACACCTATTCCCCCATTTTCCAATCACTGTGGACTACACAAAGCCAAAATACAGACGAACGTACAAAAAGCCTGAGACGAGCGGACCGGTGGAGGGGTGGTGAGGGGTGGGGAGGAGGAGTGGGGTGGGTGGGGGGGAGGGGAGAGGTGAGGGGGGGGAGTAGAAAGAAAGGGGGGAGTAGAAAGGGGTGAGAGGGATATAGGGGGAGGGGGAGGAGTAGGGGGGGGAGAAGGGGGGATAAGGGGGAGGGAGGAGTAGAAAGGGTTGAGAGGGGGAAGGGGAGGGGAGGAGAAGGAAAAGGAGGTAATAAAGATGAGGAAAGGAAGAGGAAGTAATAAAGATGGAAAGAAAGGAAGAAGCGGCGAGAGAAAAAAGAGCATAATAATAATAATGAAATTAGCATTAATAATAACGATAATAATAAGAATAATGATAAATGATAGTAAAAATGAGTAACAATGATAATAACAGTAATAATAATAACCCCAAACAATAAAAAAATTATAATAATAATAACAATAATCATATAATAAGCATAATATCAATAATAATAATAACAGCAGGAATAGCAGTTGATACGCCAAGACGAAAATGTATTTAGGCCAAAAGTAGCAGCAAAGCGAATGAGGAAGAGGGGAATAATCCGAAATTAAGATAGAGAGAGAAGAAGAGAGAAGACTAGAGAGAGAGAGAGAGAGAGAGAGGAAAGAAGAAATAGAAGCCGAAATTGAGATTGAGAGAGAGAGAGACAGAAAGAGAGAAAGCACAAGCTGAATAGGAGAGGACAGGAGAGAAAGAAAGGGAAGTAAGAAGGGGGGGGAGTGAGGTGAGGGGAGAAGGAGAGTGGAGGGAAGGGGAGGGTGAGGGAAGGGCAGTCCCCTCTCTTCCTTCACACCCTCTCGTCTTCTCCTCACACCCCGCGCTATCCTGAACAATGAGGTGGGCGGGAGGGAGGGAGAGAAGGGGGAGAGAGAGGGTGAAAGGAGAGGGAGAGAGAGGAAGGAAGACGGAGGAAGGGACGGGACGGCGAGGAGGAGAGGAGACGGGGACGGCGAGAAGAGAGGGAGAGAGGGGAGGAAGGCGTGTGTGTGTATGTGTGTGTGTGCGTGTGTTGTTTTCCCTTGATTTTTCGAAACGCCTAAAATGAGGTGTCTTGCGGGCCCCCTTTCACACCCTCCAGACTGGGGGCCGTGATTGTGATGGTAGTGGTGGGGAGGGGAGGGGAGCAGGGAGACCAAGAGAATAGGGGGGAGGGAGAGGGGAAGAAAGGGATGGTAATGATAAGGGAGGGAAGGAAGAGAGGAAGGAGGGAGAGAAGGTGGAAGTAAGGTGAGAGAGAGAGAGAAGACGAGAGAGAGAGAGAGAGAGAGAGAGAGAGAGAGAGAGAGAGAGAGAGAGAGAGAGAGAGAGAGAGAGAGAGAGAGAGAGAGAGAGAGAGAGAGAGAGAGAGAGAGAGAGAGAGAGAGAGAGAGAGAAGAGAGAGAGAGAGAGAGAGAGAGAGAGAGAGGAGAGAGTAAGTAAGAGAGAATAAATGAAGCAGAGAGATAGGATGAGACGAAAAGGGAAAATGAGAGTGATAACAAGAAGAGAGAAAATAAGGGAGGGGAGAGAAGGTGAAAGGAAGATAGATAGATAGATAGATGGAGAGAGAGAAAAAAATACATGAGACAGAGAGATTAAGATAAAGAATAGAAGAGAATGAACAGAAAAACGAGAACAAGAAGAGAGAGAATGAGACAGAAAGAGAGAAAAGAAGAGAGAATGAGACAGAAAGAAGAGAACAAGAGGAGAGAGAATGAGAACAAGAAAGAGAGAAGAGACAGAAAGAGAGAGAGAATGAGACAGAAAGAGAGAAT